CTATCTAGATTTTCTTTTCGACATCTAAATTAGTATTGTTTTAGCTCAAACTTGACAACTATTATGCTACCAATCAAATATACTCCCTCCGTTTCAAAATATAATTTGTTTTAGATGTTTTTTGTTTTAAAATGTAAGTTGTTTTGTTTTAACTTTATTAAATATTGTGTAACTACTACTATTTTGCAGTTTTTTGTATGATTGATCAAATTATTTTCATTAAATATATTAAATAATACTTTTTAATAAAAAAGTAATTTTTTAATATCCATACGTTTAACTAAAACTATTTACATTTACAAACAGAAGTAGTATCTAATTGACAAGTAGCATGTTGTTATGAATCCTACAGTATTGAAAATAGATAGAGATCCTGTGTTTCATTGACATGAGTATTTATATTCTATGGTAATGAAAAAGTTGTGATATAACGAACGGTAAGATGATTTCATTGCTATTTGTCTACGTGAAAATCTAATTAGTCAAGGATTTATACTCCCGTTCAAAATGTAAGTTATTTAGGTTAAAAGTGTGAATATTAAGAAAATATTTTTATTCTAAAAAGTATCATCTTATATATATATAATAAAAAAAACGCTTGTAATCCAATAGTCAATAAAATTAAAAAGTACATAGGATTATCAAAACAACTTATATTTTGAAACGGAGGGAATATATGTTTGTCAGATAATCATGTGATCTACAATTTTGGAGTTCTATATTATTATTTAGCACATTAATTATTAATAAATCCATATACGAGATTACAAAAATGAAACAATTTTAAGGTGTATTTTTTCCAAAAAAAAAACAAATATAAGGTATATTTAAGAAAAAAACTTTAAATTTTCACCCTATTTTTAATATCAACTTTAGCATCTGTTATAACCTACATTTAAGTAATTCACTCAAATCTTAAAAAATGTAGTCATCCATATATATATATATATTTCTTTTGCTAAAATAGTCAGCCATATTATTTCTGTAATACATATTTAATCTCTACCTTTTCATGATACAAATTTCATACTTACAATAAAATGGGGAAATAATAAAGAAATGATTTAGGTGGAAGTATTACCATCATATCGAGAATTAATTGCTTACTCGAGTCCCACTTCTTCTAAAATTTGCAGCAAAGAAAACGAGAGAGAGAATAAAATATCAATGGAGATTTCAAGCTCTGATAGTCATGATGTATTCATCGATTTCAGCACCAAAGATACACGTTACTCCTTCGTCAGCCATCTCTCCGCGGCTTTTGGCCGTAGGAATATCTCAACGTTCCTCGGAGAAGACGGGGACGCGACGCTGGAGACTGATTTCCGGTTACCCGACGATATTCAGTCGGCGGTTGAGAGAACTAGCGTTTTTGTGGTTGTCTTCTCCGACAACTACGCGTTCTCGCCGCTCTGTTTAGAAACGCTCGTGACGTTTCTTGACCGGTGTAAAGACGGTCTGGTCACGGTGATTCCGGTCTTCTATGGTGACGTCACTCCATCTATCGTTGAGCAACAGACAGAGAGGTTTGGAGTTGCTTTTTCCAACCACCAGAGTTCGTTCTCTGACGACCGGATAAAAAGATGGCGAAACGGTCTGATTGAAGCGGCCAAGTTACAAGGCCATGAATCATATGATCAACGAAAGTAAGTTTGTATATTAATTCATTAGTATTCTTTCTTGTATTGATT